TCCTGAATGACCTCAAAATGAAGGCAGCTTCTCTTAACCCTGTTTTGCAGAGTAATGGTAAAGGCTCCCCTCGCACATGCGTGCTAGTCGTTCCCGACTCTAGGGGGCAGTGCTCATCTCCGTTTCAGAGCCGAAGAGCCAGCGCTGTCTGAAGACGTCTCCGTGGTCATGTGGCCGGCATGACCCAATGCCGAAGTTGCACAAAACGCTGTTCCCTTCCCACCAAAGGTGGTTCCTATTTGTCTACTTGCACTTTTTACGTGCTTTCGAACTGCTCGGTTGGCAGAAGCTGGGACAAGTCACGGGAGCTCACTCCATTACGCGGCGCTAGGGATTTGAACTGCCGAACTTTCTGATCGACAAGCTCAGCGTCTTAGCCCCGGAGCCACCACGTCCCTAACTTCGCAAGAGTAATTGATTAAAAATCAAATCAGTTTTAGGACCACAGAGACAAAGAAACACAGTTCGCTCCCATTTCACTGGTTCCCGCACCCCCCTTCCTAACCCACAGAAACCGAAGCAGCAGCTTACCCGGCAAACCGACATCTGGTTGGTGGTGAGGGTGCCCGTCTTGTCGGAACAGATGACCGAGGTGCAGCCCAGGGTTTCCACTGAGGGAAGGCTCCGGACGATGGCGTTTTTCTTGGCCATGCGACGGGTGCCCAGGGCCAGGCAGGTGGTAATGACGGCGGGCAGGCCTTCCGGAATGGCAGCCACCGCCAGGGCCACGGCGATTTTGAAGTAGTAGATGGCGCCCCGGATCCAGGAGCCGCCGTGGACGGGGTCGTTGAAGTGGCCAATGTTGATGATCCAAACGGCGATGCAGATCAGCGAGATGACCTTGGACAGCTGTTCCCCGAACTCGTCCAGCTTCTGCTGCAGGGGCGTCCTCTCTTGCTCGGTGGCCACCATTTCGTCACGGATTTTGCCGATTTCCGTGTTCACCCCCGTAGCCACGACAACACCCATGGCTTTGCCTGCAGAAATGTTCGTACCCTGGATGGGGAAACCATCGGATTCAGGCATTCCAAGACTATTAGCGCACCGCTCCCCAAACTACATTATTTCAGATACTATTTCAGCGCAGTCTTAACTGGAAGAATCTCATTTGAGCTGATCTAATTCAGCGCTCGTAACCTAAGGCTACAGTCCTCAAGGTTTTGCACGTGATTTTCTTCTTCAAACTGGGAACAGACTTTGAGGTAGGTAATTGTCGTCTGATGTATTTTATTCCTCTTACCAACCAAACACGTTTTACCGAAAGAATTCGCTGATACTGCATATAATCCCTTCCTGCCTCCAAAAATGCTTGTTTGGTTTTTTTTGGCCCTCATCGGTGCCTTGGTGCCCCCCCCCCAGTTTAAAAGCAGGAATTTTTAGGCAGACAATAATATACACATCTATGGCTTCTCTCTCTTTAACCTAACTAGGTTTTAAGGTGTAGAACCTTTCCCCATTCATTACTTCATTTTTCTGGTACATTATCAAATTCTGCAGCACTGCAAAAACATCTGTGTTGATGATTTAAAGTATAAGCACCAGCAGCAGCGTCGATTAAGTGTGCAAAAAAACTCAACACACAAGCAACGGATATCAGGGCTGACCAAGAGAGAAGGGCAGTATAGAAATTTGTTGGACGGGTGAAGGGATGGATGGATGAGATCAAAAACTAGACCAGGCGTGCCCAATCTTTTAGCAAGCCTGGGCTGCCCGCAGAGTGAAGAGGAATATATAAAATATATAATACAGTTTTTATAGACAATATATGGCCACGCCTGGTCCAGACATGTCTTAACAGCTCCTGAAAAAAACAGGCTCGCTTGATGCGGTCTTGCTCTGCGATTCTGTAATGAGATCACTGTGCAAAAGAGGATCTGAATCCCACAGGAGGACCTGAGTTTATAGGTGCCAGCACTACTCTTAAAAAAAACAAAACAGCAATGGTATTTACACAACGCCCTTTCCCATTCAAAGCAACCCAACCGGTTTCGGTGAACTGGCACAAGCCGGTCAATATTTGAAAAGACGGTGTACATATTGTGAACTCCTGAGGACTCACTCCACGTTCTCAAGGAACAGCTTCTGAAGTTCATCCAGGGGCTGGGTGAAGAGGACATCAATTTTAATTGGGGTGACTGCCTCAGAACAGAGGCAGGGGAAAGGAAGGGGGGGGGAATGGTTTTCAGCTGTTTTGCCAGACGCAGGAACAGCAGGAGTGGTTAAGGCCAGGATAATAAATCAGATAAATAGCCCAGGACACCAGTTATGACATTCTTGAGTAGCAATTGATCGGTGATGTGGAAGTTCCCCACTCAAACACCAGAAGCCTCTTGTTCTCGGCACAAAGAGAACTCTTTAAAACTCTCCCCAAAAGGAAACCACAGATAAGGAGGGGAGCATTGGGCATTTGCAAGAGATTTCCATTATTATTTTTTTCCATTTTATGGCTGATAATCTACAAAGTTTAGTTTAAAAAAAACTTGGATCAAACCATGCTTGACTAGAATAGGATCAAAATATGAAAGAATAGAATCATGAAAGAATATAATCAAAATATGAAAGAATATAATCAAAATATGAAAGAATAGAATAGCAGAGTTGGAAGGGACCTTGGAGGTCTTCTAGTCCAACCCCCTGCTTAGGAAAAAAAAAACCCTGTAGCAGTTCAGACATTAAAATATATATATTGAGTTTTTAAGGCTAAGTTCAAGGTGACCATTAAATCAGTGTTCTTCAAACGTGGCAACTTTAAGACCTGTGGACTTCAATTCCCAGAATTCCCCAGCCAGCATGGCTGGCTGGGGAATTCTGGGAGCTGAAGTCCACACGACTTAAAGTTGCCACGTTTGAAGAACACTGATTTAAATGATCGAGATAGATGCGACGTTGTCAGGGCATCCTAAACAGAGCGAGGAGAAGCTAATTTTGTTTTTAAATGAAGCAGGCACCAGATGATGTACAAAAAACACACAGGTCGAGATTTTACTCACCGAAAAAAGCATATTTTTCTTGTCTTGGTTGACTGCACGAGGATCAGGCACAGGGTCCGTGTGCTTAATTACCGAGACAGATTCACCTAGAAAAAAGGTCAGATGCCGTAGCACAGAAGTGTTACATTTTCTTTTTGCACTTTGGACATACTTCCCGGAGTGTTTAGCAAACCAACTTGGAAGCAAAACAACCC